ACTAGGAGCTAATTCCTCAGTTTACGTGGAAAACTTAAGAAAAAAACATGACGGGTATGGACTCGATCTGATTTAAAGGATATAGTCAAGAAAATTCAGCACTGGGGTGTGAAGACTCTCTATCGGGGTTATGCAGTCATGGTTGCTCGGCAGCAGGAGTGTGTGGGGCAACACAATGGTACTCACTGCGCCTAAAATTGGTACTTCTGGAGAACAGCTGATGTTCGGTGGAATGTTGCAAAGTACGTCAGTTATAGTTTTGCTTTGAAGTTTGATCAATTCACCAAATCGTGAATTCGGTAAACTGGGGTCCTATTCTTGTGTGCGGAAATCCAGTGGTTTCCGCACCTCCTTCAGTCCGCAATTCAGAGACTGAAACCGTGGTTAAAATAACGAATAATAGTAGCCCAGCTGTGGCACCCTTTCTGTGCATGGCTGCCGTGCAACTTGAAAGGAACACAGGCCGAGATACTGTTGGGTTTTCCAAGCCTAGAGAAGAGTAATAGGAAAGCCGGGTTCAACTTGTCAAGGGTGATTGGACATCTCCAAGTATAGGTCAGCGAACGTTTCAGGATAGGATCCAGTCTGCTCTCTACGGAGGGCCCGGTAAAAACACTGCACACTGCGCCATCTGGACAAGATTTAAGTAGGAAAGTTTCAAACTCTCAGACATGTTTGGTGCAATATTTACCTACAGTAGTGATGCCATCAGTTTTGCCTGTTGTTAGAATCTACCTTACCACTGCGAACTTCCGTTACAGGCTAGGACTATCGGAAAATGGACCCGAAAAAGGAGAAATCGAAATTCAAATTATTCGGAACTAAAGATGCGGCAAAACCACCGCCGAAGGAAAGGCGAACTACCAGAAAAGTTCCGGATTCTCCAGTTGCGCCACCTGCGGACGACCTTACGAAGTTGTCTGAAGAGGAGATTGAGCAGAAATTTGTCTTGATGCTTGAGGACATGAATCTGACCCAGGAGCAGACGAAATCGTTGCGGACCAGGCCACTAGCCGTCAAATTGGAAATGCTCATGAGTCACCAAGCCAACCTACAAGCGTCGAAGAATAATGACCCTGAAGCCTTCGTATCAGTGCTCCGCAACCCGCACCATCAATCAAACAAACAGCTATTGCACTTGTTTGATGAGCTGCATGTTCGACTTCGAACCAGTGGTGTTAGCTGGATTCGGAACTTTAATAACCAACAAAATGATGGCTTGAATTTGCTTCTTAGAATTTTGGCTCTTTCNTCCCTAACTGCTACTATCCAAACTGCAGTCTGTCTTGTTTGCGCTGTATCCGCATGCTTGGTAACTGTGGTTACGGATTGTCTGCATTAGTAGATCATGAGACCGCGTCTACCTTCATCGCTCGGTGTCTGGATCCAGATCAGCCCGCATTAATGGATTGCGCAATCGAGTTGCTGTCTTGTATGGCTTTATGTGACAGTAAAGGCTACCAAAAGGTTATGGATGGTTTAACTTACAGTGCGGAGCTGGCTACTGCACCGGGAGACCGCTTCGTTCCTCTGGTGAAAGCCCTAGACTCGACGGATTTGGCCAGATCATCGTTACAGCTTATCAATGTGTTGGTTAATCGTGGATGTGTGACGAATAGTTCGTTTGATGTGGACTTTCGTATTCATCTACGAATGGAGTTGAACCAATTGGGTATTGGGGAGAAAATTAACAAGCTGACTGATTCTACCGATGAGGTGATCGGAAATCACGTGTCCATCTACCTTACTAAGGCCGAGGAGGACATGGAAACGTTACTTGATCGGTTCGATGCAGCTAGGTGCGATTTTGATGATGCTGCAGAAGTTTTTCAGCTGCTTAATCGTACACTTATCGGGACTACATCTGAACGAAAGTTCCTGTCCATCCTTCAGCACCTGCTTTTTGTTCGTGACGAACCCTATAGATTGTCGTATTTCACCTTACTCGACGAACTAATGGGTCAGATTGTTCTACAAGTGGATGGAATTGATCCTGATCCGCGTTCGGCTCTGTTACGCTTGGATGTTGAGTCCACAGTATCCGCTCTAATGCACAAGGCTGACTCGGGCGGTACGGACGATCGTTCTGCAGAAATTCAGAAGAAACTTGATGAGGCCTTGAAGTCCAAATTGGAAGCTGAGGCGACGATTCACACCCTTAAAAAAGAACTAGAAACAGTCGGTACGTCAGGCTCTGCTGGTGGTGTAGCTCCGCCTTCTGCAGGTGGTATCATTTCTCCACCACCGACGCCCGGAGGCGCCGGTGTACCGCCTCCTCCTCCTCCCCCTCCTCCCCCACCACCACCAATGATGGATGGAGGTGGCATTCCGCCTCCGCCACCACCACCGATGTTGAGCGGAGGTGGCATTCCACCACCCCCTGGTGGAGCAATCCCGCCACCCATGGCCCCGGCTGTTCCTCAGTTGCCTTTTGGTATGAAACCCAAGAAGACCTATTCAGTCGGTGTCCCGATGAAGAAAGCCAACTGGGATCAAGTCACGCCTGACCTGTTGACCGAAGACTCTGTTTGGGTGAAACTGCAGGAGGATAAACTCGAATCTGATGAACTTTTCGAGTCGTTGACATCCCAATTTAGCACAAAGCCTACTAAGAAACTACTATCTGTTGATGGGGATTCGGGCGCCGGTCGCGCAGCTCAAAATGCGAAAAAAACGAAATCCCTTCGTTATCTCGATGGTAAGGTGGCTCAAAATTTATCCATTCTTCTTGGATCACTCAAAGTTCCACATGAGGAAATCCGTCGCCGTCTCCTGATACTAGACGAAACCCTGTTAACATCTCACATGGTAGAACAATTAATACGTGCGTTGCCCGAACCGTCAGTAATAGCAACAATCACCGCCGCGAAGGATGAATTCAATGATCTAGCTGATCCCGAGCGGTTCGTTTTTCTCGTTGGTCAGATAAGGGCATTGATCCCAAGATTGAATACCATCCTTTTCAAAATGCATTTTGATGAAAAAATGGAAGAACTGAAGCCGGAGATTGTGGACGCTGACGAAGCTCTGCGAGAAATCCACTCTAGCAAATCCCTGCGTCGTATTTTGGAGCTCGTTCTTCTTTTGGGCAATTATATGAACTCCGGATCACGTAACGCTCAGTCACTGGGATTCCAGATTAGCTTCTTGACAAAACTAGATGCCACAAAAGATGTGTCAAACCAACTGACTCTGTTGCACTTTGTTGTGAATTACTTCAATAAAACCTATCCGGAGTTGGCGAAAGGTTTTGTAGACGACTTTTCTCATCTGGATCGAGCATGTCGCTTTTCAGAAGACACTATTCGATCGAGCATAGCGGAAATGAAGAAGTCCCTGTCTGGTCTAAAAAAAGAATTGGAAACATACAAGCCTCAAGGTCAAGAAGATGCTTATTTGGATGTGATGACCAAATTCGGTGAATCAGCTTCATCTCGGCTGACCCAGTTAGAAACGATGTTCGAACGTATGCGAGAAAAATTTACGGGCGTAGCACGTTACTTCGCCTTTGATCCATCCAAATACAACATGGAAAGTCTTTTCAACGATATGAAAGCATTCCATTCTGCTTACGTAGGTGCTCTGAAGGATATTGAAAGACAAGAGGCTGCGAAAGCACGTGAACGCAAAGCTGCTGAGGAACAGGAGCGTCGCAATAGGGGACGGGAACAGCGGTCTGCTAAGGGTCCCGAAGCAATTAAACGACCCTCCGAGGAGGAGAGTAACGTCATTGACAATTTGATGGAGGCGCTCAAGAGTGGCGCAGCATTTGGTGACGGGGGGCGTGCTGGTGCGAGACGTCCCCGCAATCGTCCAGCACCGGGGCCGGCAGGTGTCAGTTCTGCACCTCGAAAAGAAGTCGGGCGAGAACGTCATGTGCCAACAGCAAATACACTTGTGTCATAAAAACTCCCATGTACACTACGCCTTTTATGCCGGCTGTTTTCCCTCACAGCACTATCTTTCAAGCGCCCCACGCAAGTATAATTCTAACAAGTGAATCTCTACGTGTCTATTGTCGGTAAAGACAGTACTATTTGCTGCCTTAACTACTTCATCAGAAGCATTCCTTGCTATTTTGACACCGATTTGAGATAAAAACTGCAAACCATGTGATTTTCCTATGTACTTTTCTACTGTCCAGACACTTGGCAGTTACTCCTTGGCTATTGACGTGTATGGTAGTGTATCGATGTTTGCCTACAACGGTTACCTTTTTATTTTTCTTTACACACTGTTGGTTTCACGATTTTTTGGTTTGTACCTTATAGCAGCCTCAGAGATAAATTCAGTGCGTTGTAGAGTCAATGTCTCCTGTTTTCTTCAAACCCCAGTATCATGTCCAAAATTTCGAGGATAGTTCAGCTTCATGGGCATCTGATGTCATGGCTAGGGTGTCGCGTATCATAGCCCACCGTTCCCCTTGCCGCAAATCATCTGTATAGCGTGAATTCTGGTGTTCAATCTCATACTAGACAAGCCCTCCCCCTACACTTTTCGCCGTCGGTTATGCATTTGAACCTTTTCACTACTCATGCGAGACAGTATATCCAGTTTCTCTATGCTATTACTACTCACACCAAACACCAGTACATAGTACAAGCACAGGAGCAGTTTTGTTGAGCCTTATTAACAATCTTACTCAAAGTAGGTGGGAGACGTTTGAAGGTAACAATGAGAAGAATGGATATGGTGGGACATTGGATTTGTCTGATTCATCTTGCCCAACGTTATCTATTCAAGAGGTGTGCAATTCACTTGCTAATGATAGTGTATTTGACTGGTGTCGTTACTCTGGAAGCGGCGGTCGTTGTTCGCCATCATTTGCCAGTACAGCCAACAGGATTATATTGCCACAAAAACCCTGGACTAATCACTGATATGTCTACCAACATGAAAGCGTTGCACAACTCACTGTACTTGAGGAAACGGGCAGTCGGAATCACACTACCGAACCCACATGTGGGTTTTGTGAGGATGTATGAGCCCAGTTTGAGTTGCGCTGATTGTTCTTTATGTCTCCGGAGCAACATTCAATTTCGTCGTCCTTCCAGGACAAGCTTTCTGATTTGACTTCCTGGCTTCGGGCGCCTCAAAATGCTCGTTCTGGCTACGAAACTTTTCTCATCTCCCATTTGTGTGTGAACATGGCACCCTATCCGAAGGAAGTAAGCAGCGAGAATTATGGGTTGCGTCTCCATCAAACTGGTTGCCTTCCATGGCGCCAGCTTCATGTGGACACGGCTTTGTGAATATTTTAAGTTCGATTGGGTACACGGTTTCCGCCTAATCGTTCTCATTTAGGATTGTGTTCACACTTATGGTCTGCCAAACGACAGAGATCTTGGTAGGTCAAACAATGTCTCCATTAGGACTGTCGCATGTTGTCGGGGACTAGGAAATGAGGCCGAATTCGTCTTGGCCGGTCCAGACAATGTCCAGGGTTTCCAGTTTGGAAAAAGGATATGGAACTTACTACGACAAAATGCGGTGTCTCAAGGTCAGTCTGTGCTTCATGACTTTACGATTCAACGTCCTTTCGACCTATCTTTAAAGCGGTTGAGCTACGGCTCAGCTTCTTCCGATTTAAATGAGAATCCATGATACCATCAACAGTTAGTGGAAGTATGTATTTACTGCCGCACTACAATCGGTATTTAATGAAGTGGTCCGTAAGCAAATACCAAGTATTCAGTGGGATTTCTTTGAGCAGCAAGTTTTATCAGGTTAGTGTGGCTGTGGCATGTACTATGTGTGTCCTACCACTGTCTTCCGAAGAAAAGCGTGTTTTCCGCTTCGAGCTCCTTCGGACAAAAGGTTCCCGGAGGATAGCCTATGGCGTTGCATTGCTACCGTCAATTTGAGCGCTGTGGGATCTTTGCGCCTGGGTGGCGTCTATCTGGCTCTTGCGCACGGTTTTTAACCCTATATGACGCATCACGTAACCGACCATGTGGCAAATTCGCTTACTTCTTATCCGGACTGCTTAACTAACTCTTGTCTGTCGTTGTGCGCTTGGCTTCTATCGGATGGAGTTCGCAAAGAGCGTCGCGTGAATCCCGCTAACGCGTCTTGCTCCAACATGATGCTCAGATGTATTTATTTCAATGAGTTTGAAAGGTGTGAGCGCTTAGGGATATAAAGTATTTTGCAGTAAGTTTATGCTCGTCTACATTCCCTTCACTCTTTCTCCGTGTTCGCATGACAGCTAAGCATCATCCTGCCATTGTGGCTCTACTCGTTTTTGTTTTTAATTCATTGTTGACTACTGGGTAGTGGATAGAATGATTTCCTACACTTACCAACTCATCTCTTCGTTAGCCTTCTTGGATATCGCGAAGT